AATACATTTGAAAATGTTTTATCCAAGAACAAAATGTATTCCATCAGGAGAGTCCTTCCGAATAGCTAGGGTGGCTATCAGCCAGAACAGCTTCTACCGGACACAGTTTTATTACCTCATTTGTATCTCTCACTATCGTCAAGACAATTTTATTCTCACTTGACAGATGGGAGGTTAAGGAACTAACGTTACATAGCCAGCAAGTAGAAGCACTCGTCAGTACTGGCACCAGAATTTGAACACAGATCGGTTGAAAGCCAAACTTGTGTTCCTCGCCATTATGTATGTAATATTGCCTCCCAGACACAAACTTCATAAAGATCTCTACCCTTTTAGAAGCATCTCTGCTGTGTCTTCTACTCTCTCTAGTTCCAGGTTTAGTATCTGCTTTTTAATGCTCTTCTATCATGACAGACGTTAGACTGAGCGGCTATCAGTGACTGCCAAGCCTTGATGCAAACACTGATAAGCTGCTCTGAGTTTGGAGAGAAAAGAAAAAAAGAAGTCATCCGGCAGAACAGATATGGAAGTTTCAGGAACACAATCTGAGACATGAGTCATATAGAATTTTAAAGAGAAACTGCTATAATCTTCTTTAGAGCAAAGTTATTTTCCTCTATGCTCAAGTTATTTTTTAAAAGTACAGAAATAAAACAAGAATTGTTCTCCCTGCTAATATTGCTACACTCCCAATTGTCTTTAGCAAAAGCAGAGGCAAAAACCATTGGATGAAGTCTCTTCCACTTGTATGGAAAGAGATTACCCAGGCTTTATATGATATTAAGAACCTCACAATAAATATTGGGGTCTCATACCAAGTCCTCCTAATGAATTAAAAGTTAAGCATGTACAAATTTTAAAAAGCTAATTCCACCATTCAGTTATACTCCATTTGTTCTAAAGATTTTATTTCCTAATTCATGTCAACTTTTTTAAAAAAAGAGTAAATAAGTCTTCCCAGTTAAGTATTCCACTAATACTATTTTGAAATATCTGTTACTAAAAAATTCATCTCCTCATCTTAAGATCATAAATATTTTAACCGACACCAAAACAAAGTATTTTCTTTAAAAAAAAGCTTATTTATTTTGAGAGAGAGAAAGAGAGAGAGAGAGCCAGGGAGGAGGAGAGAGAGAGAGGGAGGGAGAGAATCCCAAGCAGGCTCCTTTAGCCTGTTGTTAGTACAGAGCCCAATGCGGGGCTCAATCTCACCAACCATGAAATCATGACCTTCACAGAAATCTAGAGTCAGACACTTAACCAACTGAGCCGCCCAGGTGCCCCCCCAAAATCTCTTTTTATAAGATAAATCAAACCACATTCAAATTTGATTTGTAAAATTTGGTTTCACGAGATTTTTAAAATATATTCACTTATTCATTCATTCCACAAACATTTACTCTGCATGTCTTGAATGCTAAACAACATGCGAGGGTCTAAAGAGCAAGGTGAAAGATTCTTGACTCCAAGCTGCTCACACCTGTACTACCGCCTCTCATATGCCTACCTGGAAACACACACACACTCAGGATCCTGATGCTCTTTGTTAGTGGCTGCAAATAATCATTTCCCAAGTTAGAGCTTCAAAGTTTACAAATGAGTTCTTAATGTCATAATAAGACAATCAATTAAGTTCCAGTTTTTATGTATAATAATCATTTTCCCAAATACATACTGAACTCCTGTTGCAGGTAAATGGCTAATTGAGTTTTCAACTCTACTGAAAAAACTGTATTGAAACAAGCTTTGAGAAGTCTCATCTCTATTTTTACATCATGTTACTGTAGAATGACTCAGGCTAGGCCAAGTAAATTTTAAATATTTGTGAGTAATGGAAACTATGGAAAATCTGATTAAAAAAAATATGTGCACATACATGAAAGTTTTGTATAAATTTCAGAAGGGGTTCAGGGAACCCCTAAAACTCTTCAACAGACCATTCAATAGGATCATGGAAATATCTGCTGACTGTCAGCAACTCCAGGGTGTGAACTTCAGCCATGTGTCATTCAAGTTAGATAGTATTTGTTGAATGAACACCCTGGCAGCATTGTTCTTGTGAAGCTTGCATTTTTATCTCCTCTTCCCCTGTGAATTTCCAAGTTCCACTTCCACATATATCCTTTCCTAAAACTTATTTGCTCGAGACAAATCCAACAGCCTAGGCAACAATCTTTTTTCCAGGCTCTACTTTCATAATTCTCCCTTCTCCACTTCACAAAAGGCACACCTCCTATCACCCAAATATTACAATGATGCATTGTCTCAGAGGGTAAAAACCACTCAGGCAGGCAAACAAAGAAACATTTCCAAGATACAGTTTCTGAGGGAGTGTCCCTTGAGAAAGAACAAAAAGATCCTTATAAGAAATACAAAGAAGCTATACTTCATCTTATCCAGAGGATAAACTACTGGCAATCCCCATACCTTACTTCTATGTTGAGTAATTAGAATTCAGAAGTAAGATGATTATATGGGTTACATTTTAACACCTACTTGAATTAAAAGGTGGTCAGCCTTTTTCTTACAGAAAGACAATTTGACTTCTGAATTACTTCAACAAAGAACACTGACTTTGTTAGAAGGGCAGGTAACATCCAAAGAGCTGTATCTGCATTTCTGAGACTTTGGCAATATATATTTAAAGCATATGCACAATATAGAATACACTGAAAGTACATACTTGGTGAAATATAACCTTATGCCAAAAAATTAGATAACTTAAAAATGATCAAGGAAACAATGATGGATTTTTAAAATACTTTTAAAGGATATTTAAACAAAACTATTTGAGGCCCAAGGAATTAGAAGCAGTATGTTGATGAAGGGGTAACCCCATGAACAGATCCTTGCTGTCATCTACCTACAAAACTCAGCAAAGAAAGGAAGCGAACAATAGCAGTGAATTTGAACATCCAATACACTCTGCTGCCATATTAGAACAACCTCTCTTCTCTGAGCCCATAACAAAGCACTCAGAAGGTAAGCGTGACTTCCTGCAAAGCCCTTTCTAACCTCGCGTCTCAACTGTCCTAACTAATCTCTTTGTTCTGGGTGCAGTCAAGAAGAATGCACTTTATATCCACTGAACAACAATTTGTGAAGAAGTCAGATCTCATGTTATGCATTCTTACCACACACACACACACACACACACACACACACACACAAAACAGAAGCCCAAGGAAACTTTTGGAGGTGATAGATATGTTTAGTACCTTGAGTGTGGTAGTAAGTATCATTAGTGTATGCATATGCCCAAAATCATCAAATTATATACATTAACCATGCGTTATACCTGCAATTATACCTCAATAAAACTGTTTTTTAAAAGATAAGAATGCACTCTAAACAATATATCCTAACAAAGGCTATAGCAGAGTTCCTTGCTGAGAATTTCTTTTAAAGAAATCAATAATGCTATCTTCTCTAACCTTATTTTTGCTGCCATAATTATGTGTCCTCCTATACATATATTTATTTTATTGAAAGACAATAAAAGTATTGTTATAAAAATAAATATTCACATGGATTGAATTTTTTAAATATGAAAAATGAAACTATAAATGCACTAGAAAAATACAAGATAATATTTTTTTATGGAGGGGATGTGGATAAGGAGGATCATCCAAAGAAAGATTTAAAAATAAAGCCATAAAGGAAAAGGAAATTTCATTGCATAAAACGTGGTAAATTTTGAAAGGACATAAGTTAAAAGATCTATGATACGCTAGAAGGAAATATTTGCTACATATACGGCAAACATATCTATAATATAAATAGTTAATATCGATCATACAAACCATTCCTATAAATCAACAGGAAAATATTTTTTAAAAGAAAAATCACACAAAACGAGCAAAAAATACAAGCAGGCAATTCACAGAGGAAATACTAATAATCAATACCCACTCAGCCTTTGCTGTATTCAGAAAAATGCATATTAAGTAAAAAGTAATATATCATCTCCCACCTAACAAACTGCCAAAAACTTAGAAGATGAATAGTACATAATGTCGTTTTTAGTATTGGGAAATAGGTAGTCTTATCGTTTACAAAAGAGAAAGTAAATGGTACATTTTAGAAGGGTGATTTCACAGTATCTGTCAAAATTAAAAATTGTTGGGTTGTATTTCTAAAGATCTATTGTGTGAGAATGCTTACTGTTAAACCCAAACAAGCAGGTGCAGCATTGCTTATAAAGTGACACACAGGTGCTAGTCACTTGGATAGGACTCCTTTAGATTACAACTGGCTGAGCCCACAACATCTGGGTATTTCAGTCCTAATTGCTAGTTTTCTGTATGGGAGAATATGAGGCAATGTTGGATTCCTCTTTTCACAGGGATTGAGTCATTCTCTATAATGAATAATCCTTGGAGAAACAGCCCATAGTGTACTGACCGGCTTCATCAACTAGAGACCAACCCACCAAAGCTTCCACAGCAGCTGTCAAGATCTTTAGAATTGATTTGGGAGCAAGAATTTTCCATCTGAGTTCCTAAATCTGATTGATTGTAACATAGTATAAGATCATCACATGATTAAAAATTCCTGTGCATTCTAACAATATTATTATGTTTATGCATACATGTACAGTAGGTTGGTCATTTTTTGTTTTTATTCTTTAACAAAACCAATATTAACTCAGTTCACCAATCAATGCCAATCAACGAGTTGGGACAAAAGCCAAGAAGTTGGAGAGTAGTAGGAATGAGTAAGCAGGCTACTGCTTCTTTTGAGCAAAACAATGAATTTTCATGTTATTTCTACCACCTCTAAAGGAAAGAAACGGAGTCCCAGAAGAAGCATAAAATAGTGTTTAGATTCCCATAATCCTGCTTAGTTTATTTACAATTCTCTCCTTCATTTTTCCTGCCTGTCCAGATGGGTTTCTTCTTTATTTCTCAAACTGAATTATGTTCACTGTCTTTAAGATGTTAAATACTTCAAAGGCCTTCCTCTTTAGTTCCTCACAAACAAAAGTCATAAGCTCTTACCTTTGCCGAATTATGCTGGGGTTAGCTGTCACTAAATGACTTTTGGATCCAACATCTTTAGTGTATTCACTTGACAAAGGAGGAAGATTGCATCTAGAGAAACAAAAACATTTTAGAATGATTTACAAACTTTTAAATCAAGTCTGTTTTCATGACAAATGGGAATTTTACTAGGTTTAGCTCAGTTCAAAAATAATCATTTTTATCACCTCTCCCTTTTAATAGTCATTAGATGACTAACTATAACCATCTTCAAAGTGCAGTCATAAAAACTAGTCCTGTTTAGAAGAAAGAAAATGTTAGCTAGAGAGTTAAGTGATCTATTAAAAAAGAGACATTAACTATTCCATTCAAAATATTTTTGAGGCGGTAGGACAGAAAGTATTAGGTTTGAAACTGGAACTCAAGAGGGTGTGGTACATGAAGGACACAGGACTACAGTGTTCTCTGTATACCCCAAAACCTCAAGACACAGGTAAGAATTGCATTTGCTTATGGTTTTTCTTTATTTTCCCCAATTCTAAATTTTACAATGTACATTCAGAGCAAACTCTGCCATCTAAATCAATATATGCCCAATGCATGTGTTGACTACTGGTGAACACATAGTGATTTGTTATCTAAAGAAATGCACTGATTCTCCACTGTCCCAGTTCAGCCAAGGGAAAGAGTACAGATGACGGTTTCCTGGTGACAAAAATAACTCCCCTCCCTCACCACACACACACACACACACACACACACACACACACACACACCACCCCAGCAGCGCTGGCTGCTTTCCTTGGCCACAATGTCTTATGAATGTTTACAATGGAAAATATGGCAACTGCATATCCAAATTCCATGGCTTTCTACCAGGGGAACATTAGGCAAGTTAATTCATCTGCCTGGCCTCAGTTTCCCCATTACACAAAATGAGGATAATGGCTTTTCCTTTCTAATGAGGCTGTTCTAAGGATTACAGTAAAAAATGTGTAAGAAGTCCCTAGCTTGATACCTCACACATAGTAAAAACTAAAAAATATCATGTATCAGAAGTATATATACATATAACTAAATATATACATATTATTTATGAAGACCCTAAATGAATCTGTACTTTACATTAGGTTTTCTTTTATTACTCTGTCCTACTTTCTCCTCTCCACCCATAGGTCTAACTTGACTCCTACCACATCAGGGCATGTCTAACTTGTCACTATTTCAACAAACTAAAACTTCATGTGTCTGTAGTGAACAAGAGCTCTGCCATTCCCCCAACTACTAAATTTGCCCTACAAATTTCCCCAGGGCATGGAATTGTCCATGCACCCACTCAGCTGATCAGCTCAAGTTCCTTGATGTTATCTTGTATTTGCTCTGTGACTCCTACCACATCAGGGCATCCTGGGTGGAACTTGTCTCAGTTGATTTGGAATGTTCCTTTCATCTGCTCTGCAGTAATGAGATATTGGGTTTTCAGGCAGCTACCCACAGATTAATTGGTCAGGCAGTTGGTGACTTTTGCTGAGTGCCCACTGAGAACAAACACAATGGTCACTGTAAGCGGGTGAAGGGGAAGCCAAGTCACAGGGCCTCCTCTTGAGATGTCTAGAGCCTAGTGGTCACACCATATCTCGTGTGGTTTCTGAGAACCCTTGTGGGGGAATGAGCTTAAGCATTACCAACCAGGCTCATCCAGCAATGGTGCTATGATCTTGAGATTTAACTGACCTTTGCAAAGATGAAGGTGATTTCAAGGATAAAACATAAGCTAAAATTTGGGAATTTATCTCGTAAGGAAGATCTGATCTTGATAACATTTTAGAATCAAACATGTTATAGAAAAACTGTAACCTCTGAATACCGCTGGGGAGTTCAGCCAACTTGTTTTGACATTATTAATGACACATAGCAGTATTTAATTCCCATAGGTTGACCCATGGCTCCTATGTCTGGGTTGCTTTATACCTTCTGTCACATAGTAAAAGCTCAAGAAAAACTCCCGGATACTGATTGTCAAATCCTACAACACAGGGAAATGCTTAAAACAATTAAGATAACCTTTTAACATGCATTTCTGGAAAATAATGACACTGTATTTTGGTGTAAGTATCTGCCTTAAGTTCTTCTGGGTAAACTTTCTCTTCAAGTGCAAATGTCTGTGGCACTTCCTTATAGCTCTTTTCTTAGAAAAAGCACACTGTAACTTTAGCTCCTCAATTCCTAAATTGATAATTACATAGATTTACAAAGAAGGCATATTTAATACAAATTGTTTCTAATAAGGCTTAATTGTGTAAAAGTGTTTCAAAATTTGTATTATTGTTTGTTGGCACAATTAACAGATATTAATGGCTAATGTGTCTTGGTAACTGTGCTCATGATCCTGAAAGATTGATCACAGAATTGATGAGAAATGAATATTCTTTGAATTGGGGAGTAAAGTGGTTGGGTTTGGTGAAGAGGAATCTTTAAACAGAAAAAAATCATAAAAGTACTTTTAAAATGTCATACATATCATTCATCATCAGGGAAATACAAATCAAAACTACAATGAGATATCACCTGACACCTGTGAGAATGGCTAAAATCAACAACACAAGAAATAACAGGTGTTGGCGAGGATGAGGAAAAAGGGGAACCCTCTTGCACTGTTTGTAGGAATGCAAACTGGTACAGTCACTCTGGAAAACAATATGGAGTTACCTTAAAAAGTTAAAAATTGGGGCGCCTGGGTGGCGCAGTCGGTTAAGCGTCCGACTTCAGCCGGGTCACGATCTCGCGGTCCGTGAGTTCGAGCCCCGCGTCAGGCTCTGGGCTGATGGCTCAGAGCCTGGAGCCTGTTTCCAATTCTGTGTCTCCCTCTCTCTCTGCCCCTCCCCCGTTCATGCTCTGTCTCTCTCTGTCCCCAAAATAAATAAACGTTGAAAAAAAATTAAAAAAAAAAAAAGTTAAAAATTGAACTACCCTATCATCCAGCAATTGAACTGCAAGGTACTTACTCAAAGAATACAAACACACTAGTTCAAAGGGATACACCCTGATGTTTGTTTTGCATTATCTACAACAATAGCCAAACTATGAAAACAACCCAAGTGTCCATCAACTGATGATCAGATAAAGAAGTGGTAATCATATACATAATGGAATATTACTCAGCCATAAAAAAGAATGAAATCTTGCCATTTGCAGTGATGAGGATGGAGCTAAAGAGTATTGTGCTGATGAAATAAGTGAGTCAAATAAAGAGAAATACCATATGATTTCACTCATATGTGGAATTTAGGAAACAAAACAATCGAGCATAGGGGGAAAAGAGAGAGACGCAAACCAGGAAACAGACTCTTAACTACATCGAACAAACTGATGGTTACTAGAGAAGTGTGTGTGGGAATGGGCTGAATAGGCCATGGGGATTAAGGAAGGCACTTGTTGTGATGAGCACCAGGTATTGTGAGAAGTATTGAATCACTATATTGTACACCTGAAACTAGTATTATAATGTATGTTAACTAACTGGAGTTTAAAGAAAAACTTTAAAAAATGTTATACATAATTAAGTATGCAAAATACACATTTGAGCCTAATTCCAAGGTACCAAAATTATGTTACCCTCACTTGTATCTCTGAGCCACCCAAATCATCTCCAAGATGCAATTACCATTACCTCTGGCTTCCAGACCTTCCAGATAAATTTTATTCAACAATATTATTTTTTAAGTGTTGTATTGGGTTATAGAGCAAACATTTACTTTGAAAAACAAGAAATAGGGGCGCCTGGGTGGCTCAGTCGGTTAAGCGTCCAACTTGGGCAGGTCATGATCTCGTGGTCCATGAGTTCTATCCCCGCGTCGGGCTCTGTGCTGACTGCTCAGAGCCTGGAGCCTGTTTCAGATTCTGTGTCTCCCTCTCTCTCTGCCCCTCCCCTGCTCATGCTCTGTCTCTCTCTGTCTCAAAAATAAATAAACGTTTAAAAAAAATTTAAAAAAAAGAAAAACAAGAAATAAATTTTTAGCATTAGAAAATGTACTTGAAGAGGGCACTTGTGATAAGCACTGGGTGATACATATAAGTAATGAATAACTAAATTCTACTCCTGAATCCAATATTACACTATATGTTAACTAACCAGAATTTAAATTCAAATGTTAAAAAGTAACAAATAAAGTAAAATTTTAAAAATGCGCTTGAAAATACCTAAGCGAAGAAAAGTGTGATATTGTTATATCCTAATACTGAAAAAACACTTTGAAGTAATGTGGTATATCCCTGTGTGCAGATAAGGCTGTTTTTGGATCTGTTCTGTCACTGTAACTGTCCCTGCACCCTATAGTCTAATACCAGACATACTACATGCTTTCTAATCATATGTACTCACTAAACATTTAATTTTGAATGTATGATACTACCTCAACTTTCTCAGGGTGCCCAAAAATTGTGCATGAAGCAACCATTTCTAAGTAGATCCATAAATGGTCAAATAAGAATAATTTATAAACAGATCGTCAACCTTTAATTACTCTCATATTATAAACCATAAATGAGGCTTTTAAAGAATTTAAGTGCATTATGAAAATGGCCCTATTCTTTGCAGGTGTTCAAGACGGTGTCATAGGAAGACCCCATACTCATCTCCTCCCCTGGGCACACCAATTGCTATAGCATTATAGCAATTATAGAGCATATCCCTAAGGAGAAAAGTACTTGAGCCCCAGATCATGCACCCCAACCCCTGGGACCTGCATCAGAGAGACGAGGCCCCAAAATGTCTGGCTTTGAAACCAGCATGGCTTATACCCAGAAGACCCAAAGGACTATAGGAAACTAAGACTCCCATCTTAAAAGGGCTCATGCACAGACTCATTTACCCTGGGAATCAGCAAGAAAATGGCAAGTTGAAAAGCACCTTGACCATATGTGAATGAAATGCATGGGCTAATCTTAAAGCATCTGCCAGAAAGGCAAGGGTCTGTTGGAACTCTCTCCAGGAATGGAGGTGATTCCACGGGTTATTTTTGCACTCTCCTACCTTGCCGGCACCACTTTCCCTGAACTGGTGCTCCAATTCCCTCCTTTGATATAAAATTCCAAACTTAGCAGGCATGAAT